AAAAACTGCAGAAAGAGTCAGGAACCCACAGGAGGGGGTAAAGGAGGTGAGGGGGTGGGGGCAGAAAGTGGAGACGAAAGCGGACGACAGGACATTGTTAATGTTAAAGAGCTGGAGAGGATGTGAAAGGGGAAATTTTAGAGAAGAAAATTTTCCGTCGCTATCTGGATTCTAACCCGGGATGTATTGAATGCGAGGCGAACACCTTAACGTCTAGACCACCAGAGCGTTGTATTTTCCCGTGTGCTGTAGCTGCTCTTGGGCAATTCAGAAACTGAAGAATGTTGCATATTGATATGGCGAATGGAACGCGGAGATCATGGCCTGTTGAAAAAAAAAAGATAAGCAATTGTACAGCGCTCTGTATTTCCTTTTGTGTGAGTCAGAGGCAACCTTCCTCTTACCAAAAAGAGAGATAAACAGACAAAGGTGGGAGGTTGGCGGGTGCTCTGGTGTGGTTTGCTTCTTCTTTCCCATCGACCGTCTATTGTCCTGACCTCTCCTCCTTCTTTTTCATGTTTGTTATTCTCTTGTAACACCTCTAATCTTCGGCACTTATATGACCTTATTGTGTTGCAAGTGCCGTAAAACTCTTACTAAAACTAAAAAGAGACAAACAAACAGACAAAAACAAAAACAAAAATAAAACTGATAGCGGGGAAAAACTAGCTCTTTCATGGTTTAGAATTTGTTCTCGCTGTGTATAGCCACTACTAGAAATAGCGGGTTGATAATGAGTAGCACTGGATTAATCTTACTTCTGTGGTCTTCCTGTGTGTTTTTGTTGTTTTTTAAATCTGTCTTGTTTTTATTCCATGCTTTATGACATTGATAACCATCGCTGTTCCAAAAAATAATACAAATAACCAACAAATACTGGTGGGAGGTTGGCGGGTGCTCTGGTGTGGTTTGCTTCTTATTTCCTATCAAACATCTAGCGTCCTTATCTCTCCTCCTTTTTTGTTTGTTACTCTCTTGTAACACCTCTAATCTTCGGCACTTATATGACCTTATTGTTTTGCTTGTGCCGTAAAACACTTACTAAAACTAAAACAAGACATATTTTGTTTTCTGCATGATCAGTATGTTCACAATTTTTGTAATCAGACTATTACAAGATTGAGTAAAGTTAATTTCATGTCTAATACCTTTCCTGGTTATTATTATTCTGCTTTCAGGCTTATGCCTCTGGTTGTGATATCGTGATTCTTGCCAGCAACTTCCAGCGAGTGGTCACCATCCCCGGGGTGTTGCGAGGGAGCATCAAGGTCAGCTGTGTCGATTGCTCCACGGACACGGGAAAGGTAGCTTTTCTTTGACTCGCTCCTTATAGACTATGACGAACTGACTGATTACTCCTGTATCTTCCTCATCACTCTGCCTTTATAAATACTCAGACTATTCTGATTCAGACTTTTGGAACCAGTGTCCATGTTTTGGTCTGACATTCTTCTCTCTCTCTCTCTCTCTCTCTCTCTCTCTCTCTCTCTCTCTCTCTCTCTCCCTCTCTCTCACTCTCTCTCTCTCTTTCTCTCACTCTCTGTCTCTCTCTCTGTCTCTCTGTCTCTCTGTCTGTCTCTCTCTCTCTCTGTCTCTCTCTGTCTCTCTCTCTCTCTCTCTCTCTCTCTCTCTCTTTTTTTTTTTCTTCAATTTTTAGATTGCACGTTCAGTTTCTTTTCATTTGAGTAATCCTATGTGATATACTTTGCTAAACAAATAGGTAAATCAGAAGACAAAACTTAACATATGTACAGTACAGGTTTTCGCCAGTGGAAGAAATTACGTCCAGGATGGTAGAAAATTTCTTACTCAATGAATTAATCTTGAAATGCTACAAAATAAAGGTATCATTTTCCATTATAGATCTGATAAAAGGTTGGCACAAGGTGGAATGCTTTTGACTTTAAAAAAAAAAAATATATATATTATGGTTTATGTTAGAGGGTTCGGTGGCGGAGCAGAGCGGTTAGTGCACTCGTCTCCGAAGCGGAAAGTCTGGGTTCGAGCCTCGGTTTGGACACAGATTTTTTTCGCCCCTTCCTGCCTACCCAGCAGTAATGGGTACCTGATTGACTTCGAGTTGGGGAAGTAAAGGCGGCGTGGAAAGGAACTGGCCACCCTTCCACAATATGCAGAAAGCCCAGGAAGTTGTCTCACTAACAAGGCAACCCTCAATGTCCGGATCGGACGCGGGAACAACTTTTCTTTACTCCACGCTTTTGTAGATCATTGTGATGGGAATTTTGCTGGCATTTTTGTACGCACTGGAGATCTTAAGCATTGACAAATGAAACAAATTCAGCACCCGGTGCCAAATGTAATGTTTTCAATGATCACTCTGTTCAGTTTCCTTGTTTTTCTTAAATTACAATACAGATTTGATTGTTTTTTAACTACATTTATTATTTTGTAACTTATTCTGCTCTTTCAGATTGCTGCTAGTTTTGGGAAAAAAATCCACATCTTTGAACCTACGCCTTCCAATACAGACAGCAGCCATGTAAGTTTGGTGTTTAGTCGTTTAAGCAGTTTATAGCTGGTTTTGCTGGCAAATTATAAGTTCAGAGTTTCATTTTTCTCATATTGCTTTGTAATGCTTTTTTTTGTTTTATCACATTCAATTTTCTTCTTGGTTTTCACCTTTTGTTTTGCATTAACTGGCATGGATTTCATCTCAGTGGTCAGAGTTTCTATGTGTGTGAAGCTCTCACATTTTGCACTCTGTGTCAGTCTAGGATAGACTTGATGAATGCAGTTTTTCAATTACGGTCACAGAATCATTTGCGCTATGTGAACTTTCATTGCATGAAGATTGGTAAAAGGATCATTTACATCGTTTTATATTTTGATTTGTTTTGGGGAGTGGCTTCGATGGGTTTCAGTGAGAAAGAAATCTAAATTATATTGAGCATGAAGAATCTGGTATTTCTCTTCTGTTTTCCTGTTAGAAATACGTGTGAATCGTAGAAATATAGGTTGTATTCCTAATGTTTTATTTATTTAGGTTGTAGTACCATTTCTGAAGAGATGACCTTGACCTTGACCATTAATGTAATTCTGAAGATCTAAATTGTGTCAATGTGGGCATAAAATCACCTGCCTCAAAGGGGAGGGGGGGCGTTTTGGAGATACATATCTTTCATAGCTTTTTGAGGTTTGATTGAGGCCTAGCTGGTGTCTATCTGATGACAATATTTTCGTTAAGCCATCAATATACAAGCAGAAATATTATCTCAAAGTTAATGGCTATTGTTTGGGGAAAGCGATGGGACATTTGAAATGTGTTAGACAGAAGTAAATTTTAAAAAAGCTTAAAGAAAAGAAAAAAACCCAGTAGCTTGAGATCATAATATGAATGATGAGGATTTATTGTTTTCTCTCATTTACATATGTTGTTTTTAGAGTTTCTACAAAACTGTTTTATCTTCCTCATTAACAAAATATTAAATGATCGTCTGTTTTAAATAAACCTACGGCTCAATGTTTTGTGAGAAGATGGCCTTTTTTTTAAATTTCAAAGTCTTGGATTGAGATATTGATGTTTTGTTTTCAAAACCTATCATTTATACCAATATAGTTTTGCGTCAGAGATGTAAGCGTGCCTACTTTAATACTTTTCTGCCATTTTTAGCCCAAATTGTTATGGGGAAAAAATGATAAACATATACAAGGAAAAAGAGTTTTGAAAAGTCCTGAACTGCAGAATCATGATTTGACAATCAACATTTAAAATTATAGTTTTACATTTTACTTCAGGCTGCTTTCATCTCCACTTGATGCTAAAACCTTTTTTTTTTTAAATTGGGAAAATACAAGGTATAGGAACTTGTTTGTATGATTTATGTTTACACTGCACTTTTTCTTTGAGAAAATACCAGATGTAGGGACTCTATTGTATGATGTATGTTTCACTTTTTGAATCTTTTAAATAGGAGTATTTTTACTCACCAGTGCTTTTTTTAAATAGAAAAACTGTCTTGTAGGTTTGTTGACTGTTATCATGGGCAGACTATTTTTTTTAAAAATTACCGCTTGTTTCTCTTTAGTCTGAATGTTTTCTGTTGTTTTACTCACACTTGTTGCTATGAATTTTGTCCCATAGCCCTCTCCTAGTGGGAGTAAAACTAATGTTGGCAAGGTTTGTTGGTGATGGATGTTGCTACGTTATTTTCATCGTTTTCCTCACCCCCACCCCTTCCCTCCCCTCCCCCCTACTATTTAGTCAGTGGTCTTCTGTTTGGGGAATGGGACATTTAGATTTTTAGGATGACAAAGATATTCCTGCATTTCAATGATGTATTCGCTGGTTGTAGCAACTCGCTAGCTCCTGTATGTGCAAGAAGACTGTGTAGGTGTTGGTCTCATCGTCTGTAGTAGTAACTTTTGATGTTTTCTTTGTGCCATGAGACGAATATTAACAATAGTTCGTCCATCAGTGTCTGGCAGTGACCAATGTATCCTCAGAGGAGAAGAAAAACAGAAAAAAAATAAGGTTTAAGACAATTTGTGGCTTGTTCTATGGCCAGTGAGACCAATCCTGATACAAGAGTTCGCCATATTATTTTGAGCCTATAAATGTTTTATTTCCACTTGTGGATGCGCGCAGCTTGCGGGGGCTTCGCTCTTGTCTTCAGCATTTGTTTTTCACGAAGCCTCATATTATTTACTTTGATGAGACCAGTACGTATGAGATAACGCAGAAGATATTTCAATCCAGATAAATGACATGCAACTACATAAGTCTCTTAACTGTTTGATTCTTTCCTGTGTTTTGTTGATAAGTTGACTTCTAATGTAGAATAGTATTGTTGTAATGAGTTTGATAAAATAGGTATGTTTTAAAACAAAGCAGGTTTTCTCATGGGTAGGGGGTGGTGTTTGTAAGGATTGGATAATTTCGCTTTCAAGACAAGCATGTGACATATATGAGCGATATGATTTAGTCGTTTTGCTTGCTTATTTCAGAATCCCCTGCCTTTAGATAAAATTTGAGCTGCCTAATTGTGTGTATAAAGTTCATATTTTGACAGTGTACACCATTAGGGAATATGGAAAAAGGCATGATAGTTAATATTTTACTGTTTGTTCATATCCCCACCATCTTAGACCTCTATGTAAAGAAAAGTGATTAAAATGATAGGGGAGAGGGTGTTCCTGTTTCTGTTGGTGTCGCATTTAGTTCAACACCTCATGGTGGTGTCCTGAGCATAAATGACGACAGGGTGTAGAACATCGTGGGTATCACTTGATGATCTTTGAAATGTTTATGGTATTGCTATGCCATGTGTGTGGGTTCTTGACTCGATATTGTGATGGGTTACATGTAGTCTGGACCTGTCTTGCGTTCTTTGCTCTGTGATCCCAGAAAAAAAAAAGTTGCGTGTTTCCCTGCTTTTTTTTCTTCCCAACTCTTGTCTAGTTTCGACACATATATTCATCTATCTACCTTTGTTGCTGCCCTAAACGCCAGATGGCGTAATGGGTAGTAAGTAAAAAAGTAATTCATCTATCAACCCACGTGCCTTTAGCACAACATCCCAACGCTAAAGCTTAGGGCTAAGACTCTTGTCTTGCTTTTGACCTCTACCCAAGGAGGTTATACAGTGGTGTAAGGTCCTTGCCTCTACCCTGGTCCTGACCAATTGGCAACATTCTTGTTCTCGTTACATCTTCGGAGTATGTTGACTAAATGAAAATTTAAGAAGAAAAACAATTGTTTAATTTCACTTTATTGATCCCCATACAAAATTTGTTTTACAATGGAGTACATAAGTACTCAAATACATTGATACATTGATGCATGGATAAAGCACAATACCACAGACAAGACCACCAGAGCCCCCTACATCTGCTTCAGGGATTCCCGTTTGTTTTTGTCCACGCAGCTTTGAAAACCTATACTAAGTAGCTGATGCTCACAATTTTTTTGAAGTTAAATAATTTTTTTTTTAATATCTCAATTCTGGGGTATTTTATAATTATACATAGCAACTGAAGCCTACAATATTATCATTCGTAAGCTCAAAATAATGAAAATCCGGCTTTTTCATGTTTGTAGTAATACCGAATGCTACTTTTCTTTAGATTTTTAGATATATGTATATAGATGGATATAAATACCATGGTTTTATTCTTCATTCCTTGATGTTCCTATATCAAGTCATCAAATAATGTAGGCAAAAATGCTACGTAGAAAAATGTATATTGCCTGTCTTAGGTTTCTTTTGATATGTGTATAATATAACCACCTCCCAATACTATGTTTTATTTAATTTCTTTTTTTTTAAACGCTGAGTGAAATCATATCAATCTTTACTTGTACAATTGCTTTGGTTTGAAAGCTGTTGTGCTATATATAAAAAGGAAGTCAGGAAGTCAAAGCTGTGACCCTACTCTTTTATAACATAACTCACAGATTATGTCATGAACGGCCTCCATTGATTTTGGCAGTTGTTGTCAGCTGCTGTTCAGTTAGTTCTGAAACTGAGAGAATTGGAAGCACTCTTTCCCTGCCCTCAGTCTGTATGCAAAAGGCTTCCTGTCTTGATTGATAAGTCTCAGAAGCTGCCTTATTTAAACTAGTTTTTACTGTCTGAGGTATCATTAATGACCTCTGTTTGCTTTTGGAGAATAAAAGAGTTTGAAACTCCATAAGTTATCTTTTCTTAAAGAGGAATTGTAATCTCATATACATGGCAAGAGATGCAGGTTCCCCTCTCTCACATCCGCACCGATTTTGGCATTTGATATGGGTCGTTAGAAGCATGGTCTTTTAGATCCTGCCCGTTGCCTCCTCTGATCCCTCCCTTTTCCTCCCTATTTTTGTCTCTTCTCCCCATGATAATATTAAATGAGAGTTAGGGTTGTTATGGCAGAAACTCATAACAAATGATATTTTTCTGCTTTGTGTTAGTGCGAACAAGTCATAAAGTAGAGAGGCATATAATAATAATAATAGATAGCATTTGTACAGCGCAAATCCCCGCTCAACAGCAAGCTCTGTGTGCTTCACAATCTATACTAATGATTGATACTATTTTTGGCAACGAGTAAATTTATAATAATATTATTGTAGATATAAATGCATGAATGGGAGCTGCTTCATAGTAACTGAAGAATTATTGAAGTAACAAAGCATATTTTGTTGTAATAATGCAAGGTCACTTAAATTAAAATGTTTTTTAATGCCATGAAGTGCCAGCAAAGAATATTCAGTTGGACTGCAATATATTTTTAGATTTGATCATTCAAATTAACAAAAATAAATAATGTTCTTTCGGATGTATAAGCCTCAGTACATGGTGGTGGGCTATCTTTTAAGTAAAGTACCACCTTTTTAGGAGTCAAGACATGCCACTTTACAAAACAAAATAATCCGTCCCGAATCACGGTGCTTCTACGTTTGTGCGTCAATGAAAATAACAGACACTGGTGTGGTATGTTTAAAGTTGTAACATTGTTAAAAACTTTCTTTGGCTGTTCTTCATCTATTATTTAGATGTATGTAATATGGTTCACTCAGTCAGCTGCCTTGGGGTATGTGTTTATCTCTGAATATGACCCAACTAAAAAGTTTTTTTTTTTTTTTTAAAGAACACAATTGAACTCATAAACACCTTTTTAAGAGTTAATTCCAACTGTGGTTAAACAGTTTTCACCCTTGAAAACAAAAGTTTTGTGGTCACAAAATATTTCTTTTAATTGTCTCATCTGAATTTACATCAGTGTACTTAAAGAGTGGCCATTTCGTTTTCTTGATGCCTGAAAAATAATGGACCAAGCTAAGAACTTTTTGAACTTTCTTGCAAGAAGAACACAATGATCTCCAAGTATATATATAGATATTGAAGAGAGTTCATTGACAGTATGTTTAAACTCATCATTCTAAAGGAAAATTTCTCATGATGCTCTGTTTAGTGCAAAACTAAACAGTACAGTAAGATGACATTATCAGTTGTTGAGACGGATATTTGGAGAAGACCAGTTCTTGTGACAGGCAAGGGTATGTTTCGCAAAACTTCAAATCTTTGACAAACTGTTGTGCAAAACATGCAGTCAAGATGAATGCTATGTTTCTCTATAATGAGAGGATAGATGTATGGTGGTCTTTTACAATGTAGTTATATTTAGTGAAATGTTAACAGATGCATTGCTGTTTTGTTGCCATATAATATTCTAACTTTGCATGTTTGAGACTTTTTCTTTTTCGTTCTGTGACTTTCATTGTATGTGACTGTAAAGGAAAAGTTAGGCAAAATATATTTTTATTTACTTCCAATATGTTCTTTAAAATCAGTGATAGCACACATGAAATGGTTTTTTTACATGCTGGTTTTTGCCTGTCCATTGTTATGTGTTTCCTGAAGTGTTTTGGTCCCATTTTCCTCTTTTCATATATATCCATCCCTCTGTCATGCAACCCTACCTTTTCTTCTCTTTTCTTTAACTTTCCATATATTTGGGGGGGGGGGGGGGGGGGAGACAGGAGATATAAAATACAGATGCTGGTTATCTTTGGAGAGTAACAAGAGAGTATTATATATTTTTTACACATATTTTACCCAGTTGTCAATGGGTCTGCTAATTTGTTGCAACGACTTTGAAAGTCACTGCCTTCCAGGGACTCTTGCATTTTCAAGAGCAGATTGTTGTTTGTTTGTTTTCTTTCAAGCTAACTCTTTTTGATGGTGAGGCATCAGATCATGTGTTTGATCATATCTTCATGCTTTGTCTAGTGCTTCGGCTAAAAAAAATGTATGAGATGTATATATCACATATAATGCAGTGGGTTCAGGGGATAGGGTAGTTTGTAAGCGCAAAGTTGTTGTTTTTAGTATGTAATATGTTGCTTTGTAGTGACACGCATGACTAGCCTAATATCCATCTGCTCCCTGCAGAAATTGGATTACCGCTGGTTCCCCACTGCTGAGTTGGATGCTGACTGCTACGTGAGATGTCTCAGCTGGAATGTAGAAGGTAGGTTGGGTTTTTTTTTGGGGGGGGTTCCTTTTTTTTAGGGGGAGGGGGAGGAGGGAAGTTGTTTTTTTTTAAAGGGTTTTAAGAAAAATTATGTGCTGGGTTTCCCTGCTGGTCTCGAAGGGAAAGGTTTTAATCTTTTGGTAGAACACCTGGCTCAAAGCAAATGTTTGAAGAAGGAAGAGAAAAATTCGGACTCCACTTACATTCAAATGTTCAGCTTCTACATTTTAAGTTTGTTCAAACTGATGCGGGTGGGTGGGTACGGGTGCTCTGGTATGGTTTGCTCCTTCTTTCCTATCAAACATCTTTCGTCCTTATCTCTCCTCCTCCTTTTTTGTGTATGTTACTCTCTTGTAACTCCTCTATTCTTCGGCACTTATATAACCTTATTATGTTGCAAGTGTCATAAAACTATTACTAAAACTAAAACTGATCAGGTAGTTTTTGATTTCCCACATAGACAGCTTTATGACGATTTGAGAAAAAAATATGTTATATTGTGTAATATGCAACGTTAGAAAGTATTTGTTACTTATCTTCTTTGTTTCAATTGCTGTCTAGAAAGTGTGTATTGGAGACAGGTGTAGAAATTTGAAACTGACGCGTGGAACTTGATTAGGTGTTTTATTCGATTTTGAGAATAAGGTTACGACTTCTCAAAGGAGAGCAAGGTGCCCGTTACAATTTCTTATGGGAAATCATGAACCTGTTGGCCTGTTCTGTTAAAGAAAGAATTGTTGGGGATTTTTTTTCCAAGAGAAAATTCAAAATGTCACATGGCCGCCGGCGCCCTCCCCCCCCCCTCCAACAGGGCAGTGCTACTGACTGAAGTGTCTGTAGGCCATTCCAAAGAGGGGATATTATCATGTTCTTATGCACAGTAGAATTGTAAATGGACTGATTTACAAATGTCATGCTCATACTGTGCTGGAACTACTGCTTTTTCTGTCCTCATCCTTACTATCGTCATTTTCCTCTACTTCTTTTGTATGTTTGTCACTCTCTTGTGAACTGTTTTTTC